TCCTTTTTTTTTTTTTTTTTTTTTTTGAGTTGGAATCTCACTTTGTTGCCCAGGCTAGAGTGCAGTGGCAGGCTCATGGTCACCCCAGTGTCAACCTGCTGGGCTCCGATGATCCTTCTGCCTCAGCCTTCCAAGTAGCTGAAACTACAGACGCGTGCTACCACGCCCGGCTAGAAAAATGCCTATTTAAACAACATTGAGATAGCATTTCAGAACCAAAAAGATTAATACAAATTTCAAATCTAAAAAAAAAGTAAGTATGCCAGGCGTTGTGGCTCATGCCTGTAATCCCAGCACTTTGGGAGGCTGAGAAGTGAGGATTGTCTGAGTTCAGGGTTTGAAACCAGCCTGAGCAACCTGACAAGACCTCTTCTCTACATTAAATCAAAAATTAGCCAGGCATGGTGGCATGCACCTGTAGCCTGTAGTACTAGCTACTTGGAAGACTGCATTAGAAGGATCACCTGAGCCCAGCAAGTCGAGTTTGCAGTGGTCATAAGTGTGCCACTGCATTCCAGCCTGGGCAACAGGGTGAGACTTCAACTCAAAAAAAAGAAAAAGAAAAAGTGAGTGCTAGTAAGGGTGCAAGAAATCAGGAAAGTGTACAGATTGCCAGTGTGAATGAAAACCGGTATCATCCCTTTGGAAAGCCATTTGTCAAAGTCTAGTAGGGTTGGGTATGGGCACCTCCCATAATCCCATGTCTATGAACATCTTTCACATTTATACAAAGAGAGATTTACAAGGATACTCTTTTCAATACTGTAAATAATACAAAAGAGAGAGAGAGAGATAAAGAGACAAATTGGGTATCACAAAGCAGATAGAAAAATAAATTTAATCTACATAAAGTAGCATGATAGGACCATTGCTTTACTAGACTCTGTGCTCTTTTAGCTATGGCCATTGCTATGTTTCCTAAGCTTTGGTCCCCTCCCCTCCCATGGGGAGGTGAATCACCTCTCTGTCTATAATTTACTTTCTAAGTAAACTATATTTTTCAATCTAAAAAAAAAAAAAGAAAAGTAAGGCTGGGCATGGTGGTTCACATCTGTAATCCCAGCACTTTGGGAGACTCAGGCGAGAGGATTGCCTGAGCTCAGGGGTTCGAGACCAGCTTGGGCAACTTGGTGAGACCTCGTCTCTACAATAAACCAAAAAATTAGCTGGGCATGGCAGCGCATACCTGTAGTTCAAACTACTTGGAAGGCTGAGGCAGAAGGATCACCTGAGCCCAGCAGGTCGAGGCTGCAGTGGCCATGAGCAGCGTGCCACTGCACTCCAGCTAGAGTGACAGAGTGAGACACCTACTCAAAAAAAAAAAAAAACAACATGATAAATCTCAAAAATATAATGCTGCTTTTAAAGAAAGCAAATTGCAAAAGGATACATGCAGTATGAGATCATAAATATAACCATTTGATATAAAAAACAGAATAACTTTAAAAGATTACTATATACTGTATTGTTACATTATGTCTGGATAGATATATTTGTAGAAAATTATTTTATTTTATTTTATTTAAGAACTAAGTTAGAAAGACAGAGAGAGACAGAGGAGATTCACTTTCCCAAGGTAGGGGAGGGGACCAAAGCGAGGAAACATGGCGGCCATAGCTCAAAGAGCCACATAGACACACCAGAGTTTATCAAAGCGATGGTCTGGAAAATTATTTTCAAAACAAACATTCATGATGCTGATTCATACCAGTTTCAGGATCATGCACATCTCTGGAACACAGAAAGAGAGAGACTGATAACAATTGGGTAGTTTGTTATGTCTAAAAAGTTATTTACAAAAAATATTTGGGCTGGGCTCGGTGGCTCAGCCTGTAATCCCAGCCCTTTGGGAGGCCAAGGTGAGCGAATTGTCTGAGCCTGTGGGTTCGAGACCCGCCTGGGCAACTTGGTGAGACCTCATCTCTACAATAAATCAAAATGAGCCGGGCGTGGTAGCGCGCGCCTGTAGTTCCAGCTACTTGGAAGGCTGAGGCGGAAGGATTGCCGGAGCCCAGCAGGTCGAGAGCGGCCACTGCACCGGGAGCGGCCACTGCACTCCAGTCTGGGTGACAGAGAGAGACTCCAACTCAAAAAAAAAAAAAAAAAAAATTTCCCAAAGTGTTGATTTCTCTTAATCTAAACGGTAAGTATATGAGAGTTAACATTATTTTGTATCTTTCTGCATATTTGAAGTATTTCAAATTAAAAACATAATAAATGAATTAAAAAGCAGTACTATAATAAGATCCCATTAAATACAGAGGGATCCAAATAAAGTATACACAATTAAAACATGAAAAAACTGTATTAAAATTGTAGTACTCAAAATGTACTAATAACAAAAGATGAATACAAGTCACATTTGACTTCTGCAATTACAAGAAGTGCTCAAAGTGGTTATCATCAGCATCCACATGCTTCTAACAACAGCCAAAATCTCTTAAAAATCACTTAAAATGTGTATACTTTTTTTTGGCACTCCTGGTATAGTGAGTGACCATATAACAGAAAATATTATATACTAAAAATAAAAAAAAAAATGAAAGACTGTAGATCAAACTGTTTGTAATGGTTGTCTCTCGAAGAAGTATTTCAGAGGTTTTGTTCTCTACTTTCCACAATTGGGTTTTGTTTGAACTTTTGCCATGATCATGGATTACCTGTGTAATCAGAACAAGCAGCCCAAATGTTGAAAATGGTTGAGGGAATGAGGTAAAGAAAAATGTAAAGAAACCTACATTTAAGTCTTTACAACAAAAAAACCCACACAAGCACTCTGAGCCCCACCCCTTTTCAAAGAGTGGGACAGAGGGGGGAAAAAAGGACTGCATTTATGTTCTTAGAAGCCAATAACTAACTAAGCCCCAATTTTGCAATTATGCAAGACCAGCTGCCATTTCTGAACATTCACAAAGAGCTAAAAAAGGGCTCATTATATTCCTCTGAAGTCTGCTTCTCATCCTGTATTCTCTGTCAAGATGAGTGTTGCCATCAATTTCACCACTTTAATAACTTTGTATCCTCCACTCTCCTCCCAGTGCCACCTTGTATCCTCCACTCTCCTCCCAGTGCCACCACCTCAGTGTAAGCTATCTCATAGATCTGTCCTTGTTCCTGCCTCAAGACTTGACCTTTGGAATCCATGTAGCAAACGACACTCAAGTGATCGGCCAGAAGCACATTTGATCATAAATATCCCTTCCTCAATCAGTCATCTCCACAAAACGTGCTCATGTTTCTTCTTAGTGACATGATAAAATGCCACCTCTTTAGAATGACTTCCAAGACTGGAGCCCTGTATGACTACTTCTGCCTACCTTATCAGGCTGAGACCGCTTTCCATGCACGCCGCAGATCCGTAATTTCTCCACAGCTACAGTTTCCCAGATGTCACTTTGTGTTTTATTGATGTTACTTCCTCTGTCGAAAGCACCTTGCCCCTGCACCTGGAGAACAGCACACCTACGGTTACCACTTAGCCCAATACAAGTCACGCTTGACTTGTATTTGGCTCTTCCTTTATGAAGATTTTTCTGGTTCTTATTTATATATACTCAAGCACATACATTCTCACACACACACACACACACACACACACACACACACACCCGTCCATTTGGTCATAGAGTCCAGCTTTTTTCACTGCACCCTGTTCTTATTTTATGGATTTAATGATTTCCCAATTCTCTCAGGATACTACCCAGAAGCTGTTGACTTTCATTAAAGTTGCCTCTCCATATCCATAGGTTCCATATTCATGGATCCAACCAACCACGGATTTAAATATTCTGGGAAAAAAAAGTGTCTGTGCTGAACATGTACAGATTTTTTTCCTTGTCATTTTTCTCTAAGCAAGACAGTATAGCTATTTATATAGCATTTGTATTATATTAGGTATTATAAACAATCTAGAGATGATTTAAAATATAGGGTAGAATATGCATAGGCCATCTGCAAATACTACATCATTTTATATCAGGAACTTCAACATCTGAATTTTGGTATCAGAGAGAGGTCCTGGAAACAAGCCCCTGTGAATACAGAGGAATGACTGTATTTATTGTTTATGTCTGTATTTCTCAAATTACTTTCATTTTCTATAACAGTCTTTTTTTTTTTGGATTGTCTTTTTCATTCTGTTGGTTTTCTAAACATATCTGATAATTCTATATCCTAGTACTCAATTTCCTTTCATTTTCTAAAATATTTTTTGGGATATCTTATCTGCCGATAGTATCTCCTTCCTTTTTCTTTGCTTTACAGGTATATTTAATTGTGACTACCTACACTTTTATTTCAGGGAGGTATGGAGGAGTACAATGAGTAATCACAAATGTTCAATCCACTATCTTGGCTCAGAAAATTAGCCATCCATCTTAGAACCCACTGAATTAACTGACACTGTATAATAACAAAAAGTAAACAAACACACACATTTTCCAAGACCCAAAATAACTAAGAATGTAGGTCAAAAATATTGTTGTTATGTAGTAATTAATTCATAACAACTGTGAAGTTTACAGTGTAAGCTTCTTTGAGGAAAAGTCCATTTTCTCTTCATCTTTGTACCTGCAGTAGTTAACACAGTTCTTGACTCACAGCAGGTCTCAAAAAATAGTTGTTCAATAGGCTGGGTGTGGTGGCCAGCACTTTGGGAGGCTAAGGTGAGAGGACTGCCTGAGCCCATGGGTTCAAGACCAGCCTGGGCAAGTTGGCAAGACCTCATCTCTACAATAAATCAAAAGACTAGCCGGGCATGATGGCACATGCCTGTAGTTCCAGCTACTTGGAGGGCTGAGGTGGAAGGACTGCCTGAGCACAGCAAGTTGAGGCTGCAGTGGCCTGGAGCGTGCCACTGCCCTCCAGCCTGGGCGACAGAGTGAGACTCCAACTCAAAAAAAATTCTTTTTTTAATAAACGCAACATTACAGAGGGCCCCACGCCACCATCCCCTCTGGCCGCCCTGCTCTCTGCGTGGCCATGGCCTTCACGTTCACAGCCTTCTGCTACATGCTGGCTCTGCGGCTCACCGCCATGCTCATCTTCTTTGCGATCTGGCACATTATAGCATTTGATGAGCTGAAGACTGATTACAAGAATACTATAGACCAGTGTAATACCCTGAATCCTCTTGTACTTCCAGGGTACCCACCTCATCCATGCTTTCTTCTGTGTCATGTTTCTTTGTGCGGCAGAGTGGGTGACATTGGGTCTCAACGTGCCCCTCTTGGCCTATCATATTTGGAGGTATATAAGTAGACCAGTGATGAGTAGACCAGGACTCTATGACACCACAACCATCATGAATGCAGATATTCTAGTGTATTGTCAGAAAGAAGGATAGTGCAAATTAGCTTTTTATCTTCTAGCATTTTTTTACTACCTATATGGCATGATCTGTGTTTTGGTGAGCTCCTAGGACAACACACAGAAGAATGGGCCCAGTTAAGTGCATACAAAAAGCCACCAAATGAAGGGATTCTATCCAATGAGATCCTGTTTCCAAGAGTAGCTTATGGAATCTGATCAGTTACTTTAAAAAACGAGTTCTTATTTTTTAAATGGTTCCACGTTTTTTGCTTGTGGAAAGACTGTTTTCACTTGGATCAAGAATTTAAATGGAATTACGTATAAATTAATATAAAATGATTACCTCTGGTATTGACAGGTTTGAACTTGCACTCCTTAAGGAGCAGCCATAATCCTCTGATGATGCATTAATTCCTGACTGTCCTAGTCCATTGGAAGCTTTTGTTTACAGGAACTTGTAGGGCTCATTTTCGTTTTATGAAACAGCATTTGACTATAGATTAGCTGTAGATGTCAAGTGCTTCTGATGAACTGAAAATGTGTTTCTGACTTGTGGGAAACTTCATGGGTTTCCTCATCTGTCATGTAGGTGATTATTACATATGGATACATTTACAAAAATAAGAAGAGCAGGATTTTTTCCCTTCGGCTTGAACATTATCCCTATATATTGCATGATTGAGAGATTTCCCATATTTCCATCAGAGTAAAAATTAACTTGCTTTAATTCTTAAGCATAAGTGAACATGATATAAAAATATATGCTGAATTACTTGTGAAGAATGCATTTAAAGATATTTGAAATGTGTTTTTACTTGTAAGACAATTATAAGACAATTGGTTATTATGCTTACTGTTTTAATCTGGTGTTAAAGGTATTCTTAACAATTTGCAAGTACTTTAGATTTTCAAAACTGAATGAGAGAAAATTGTACAACCTGCTGTTCCTTTAGTGCAATACAATAAAACTCTGAAATTAAAAAACAAAAATAAAATAAATGCAACATTAACAGAAGCAATCCTGCTTTATTTTATTTTGATTATATCCATAACTAGAGTTCTAATCTGCTTTCCATTTCAATTAGGAAATAGAGCGTTTCTTTTTTAATTTTATTTTTTGTTTTAAAGATGTGTGTACTATTCAGGGTTAGGTATGCATATGTTCATTATGCAGGTACCCTTGTTGATAATGTGTGCCACCCCTCCCCTGGCGGTTTCCCACTACTGCCAATCCCTTTCTTTTTTTAATTTGTATTTTAAAGATGTGGGGTACAATTCAAGGTTAGGTGTACAAATGTTCATTATGCACGTACCCTTGTTAATGAGGTATGCCCTCCCCACAGAATCCCACTACTGCCAATCCCACCCTCCCCCTCCAGCAATTTCCCGCTACTGACAATCCTTTTCTTATAGTATTATGATAATTGTTCAAGGTCCACTTATGAGTGAGAACATGTGATACTCAGTTCTTTGTTTCTGTGACAGATTACTGAGTATGATAGACTCTAAATCCATCCAAGTTGCTGCAAAGTCCATATGTTTGTCCTTATGTATAATATTCTATTGTGTATATGTACCACATTTTTTTAATCCAGTCCAGTTTCAATGGGCAGCATGGTTGGTTCCATGTTTTTGCTGAAAATAGAACATTTAGACAGAGCCAAAAGTATAGGAAACATGTTTAGAGTAAGGGTCCCTACATTTGTTTCATCAAGGAATACATTGTCTCCATAGGTAAAGCTTTATGAATGAGTATACAGCAAAAGAAAGCATGTCGAAGGAGAAAGTTCAATTTGGGGGTCTGAGAAGAGATGGAGAAGGAAGTGGTAAACTTGGGCAAAGGAGCTGACCACAAGATCTAAACCATATCTGTCCGGGAGATCCTGAGTGTCTCCCCTTTTTCACCAGAAATTCCCAAGAAATAATAGTTGAGATGAGCACCACACCCTCTTCTTTCCTACCCACACTACTCCCTACTTACAGGTCTTCAATCCCAAATTCAATACTTCCAGACCACAAAGATGAAATTTTGGCCTAAGTGTAAATTTAATCTATGGAATAAGACAGGACAACGGACTAGGGTCTCCCAGAAGATGACAAGCAATTGTTAGGGCCCCAGAATAAAGTCTGCATTTGTGAACAGAGATTCAAAGGTAGAATTGTTTGTTTGAGACAAAATAAGATTTCTTGTGTGCCTTAGCTCTTTTTAGCTGAGAGTTATTTTGTGAATGGCTCTATATATCCATTTATTTCTTTCACAGAAGGAGAAGTTGAATTTAAATATCTGAAACTTCTGGGAAAGGAGTTACAAAGATGAACAAAGAAGACTCCATGTTTGGAGAATGGAGAATACAAACAAGCAAACAGGCAAATACAAGCAAGTGTGATCAGTTCTACTATGGGCCAATGACCAGATGCCATGGAAACATAAAGATGAACATGTACTTGGAGTGAGGAGCAGAAAGTGTTCCCAGGGGAAGTGGCACCTTCTCTGAAACCTGAAGGATTTGGAAGGGATTCATCACGGCTAAGACATCATCTGTGAGGTGGAAGATTGGGAGACCTGAGGCAGGATAATTAAGCAGGAAAATCAAAAAAGCACTTATGCATCCACACTAGAGATCTTGAACTTGACCATGAAGACAAAGAGGAGAGCGATGAAAGGCGTGAGATTGGGATGCAACAAAATCTGATTTGTATTTTAGAAAGAGCTCTCTTGCTATATTATGTGAAATGTGTTAAGAGATGAAAACAATTGGACACCTAGTGCTAGAAACTCAGGTAGGAGTCTGTGGCAGTAACCCAGGAAGAGAGGAGAGTAGTCTTGGAGTAAACTAGTAGCAGTAGACTAGAGAGAAGTGGATGGAATCAATTTGAACACTATGTCTGTGGCAAAATCTACAAGAGTAGAAAAAGTACCTAAAGCTGTAGGCTAAATATGCATTTTTATCAGAGCTCAAGGACCCCAGAATGTTCAACTCTTCACAGTAGAATCTCTTGTAAGCCCTATTTCTTTTTGTTTGTTTGTTTGTTTGTTTTGAGTTGGAGTCTCACTCTGTTGCCCCGACTGAAGTGCAATGGCCTCTCCTGGCCACCGCAGCCTGACCTGCTGGGCTCCAGCGATCCTTTCGCTTCAACCTTCCAAGTAGCTGGAATTACAGGAGTGCGCTACCACGCCCGGTTGATTTTTGATTTATTGTAGAGATGAGGTTTCACCAAGTTGCCCAGGCGGGTCTCAAACCCACGGGCTCAGGCAATCCACTCACCTCAGCCTCCCAAAGGGCTGGGATTACAGGCTGAGCCATCAAACCCGGCCCTTTTTTTTTTTTTTTCATTAATGCTTACTTTTATTGTTTCTGAATGCATTTATTTCACAAATCTGTTAAGTGCTATAAACAAAGTTTTTAGCAACTTTTATGCTAGTCTAAACTTAATAAAAAATTAACTTAAACCAACATTAAACATGAATAGGCAGAATTTTTCCCTTTACACTTGCGTGCATATACAAAGGAACTTCAAAAACTTTGTAGGGGAAAAAATGGAATTAGAAAATGAAAATAAAAACAAAACAAAACAAAACTGTATTTCCCAACATGATCTCCATCAAGTTCAAGACACTATTACAAGTGATCACACCAGCCATTTAGTCCATCCCTAAAGACCTGAGGATCCTGAGCATTTAACCACGTCAATATGGTTTTCTTTACATTATTAATTGAATAAAAATTAGTGCTCTTAAAATTTTTTTTTTTTTTTTTTGAGTCAGAGTCTCACAATCACAACTCACCATAGCTTCAACTTCCTGGGCTTAAGTGATCCTCCTGCCTCAGCCTCCCGAGCAGCTGGGACTACAGGTGTATGCCACCATACCAGGTTAAGATTTTTTTTTTTTTTTTTTTTAGATTAAGAAACAAGAAAAAGGCTGGGCTGGGTGGCTCAGCCTGTAATCCCAGCACTTTGGGAGGTCAAGGCAAGTGGATTGCCTAAGCCTGCAGGTTCGAGACCAGCCTGGGCAACTCGGTGAGACCTCATCTCTACAATACATTTTTAAAAATTAGCCGGGCATGGTAGTGTACCCCTGTAGTTCCAGCTACTTGGAAGGCTGAGGCAGAAGGATTCCCAGGGTTGGCTGTGAGCGTGCCACTGCACTCCAGCCTGGGCGACAGAGTGAGACTCTGAATCAAAAAAAAAAAAAAAAAGGAGAAAGAAACAAAAAGAAATCAAAAGGAGTCAAATCAGGACTGTAAAGTTAGTGTCTATGAATTCCCACTGAAACTCACAAAACTGCCCTTGTTTGATGAGAGGAAGCAGCAGGAGTATTGCTGTAATGGAGGACTCCCTGGAGAAGCTTCCCTGGGTGTCTTTCTGCTAAAGCTTTGACTAACTTTCTCAAAACACTCTCATAATAAGATTTTTGTGTGTTTGTTTTTGAGTGGTGTCTCACTCCATCGTCCAGGCTGGAGTGCAGTGGCACACTCACGAACACCCCAGTGTTGACCTGCTGTGCTCTGGTGATCCTTTCACCTCAGCCTTCGAAGTAACCAGAACTACAGGTGCAAGCTACCACACCCGGCTAATTTTTTTATTTATTGTAGAGACGAGGTCTCGCCAAGTTGCCCGGGTGGGTCTCGAACCTGCAGGCTCAGGTAATTCACTCACCTCAGCCTCCCAA